CGCGGGGCCGGCCGGCGGGCGGGCGCGCTTCATCCGGCCGGGCGCAGGCTTGCTGTCCTCAGCATGATGAAGGTAAGTGCGGCCCCTGCCCTGCGGGGTGCACCGTGGCAACGAGACTAAACCCTTTGCAGAGCAGCTTTCCCCTTCCTTCCCTCTCCCCAAGGTTTCCCTGGTTGATTGCTGCTTTGCAAGGGGAGCATCTTCCCCCTTCCCTCCCAAGGTTTCCCTGCCTAGTCAATTACTGCTTTGCAGAGGGAGCATAGGCTCCATGCCTCCTCTTTCCCCCTTCCCTTCCAAGGCTTCCCTGGTTAATTGTTGGTTTGCAAAAGGAGCATCTCCCTCCCTTCCCACCCTCCCAAGATTTTCCTACCTAGTCAATTGTTGCTTTGCTAAGGGAACAGCTCCCCCACCCTTATTGTTCCCCATGCAGAGGCAGGGATGTGAGAGTCTCTCTGCTCCTTTTGTAGGGCCCAGTTGCAGGCAGAATAACAGTAACAGGGTGGGGAAGGCAGCCCCCCTGTGTGATCCTGCTTGTGACTGCCGGAGCCGCCAAGGGTACTGTGTACTAGGCAGGCATTTTGACTTGAACGTGTGCAGGGGTCTATTAAATGTCTCAGCCTGGGTAAGTCGGGCTGTGCATTATGGGTTTGTGTAATTCTTTCATGGATCAAAATTAATGGAAGAGAGTGGCTTTTTGGGGGAGGCAGGGTGGAGGGGGAATGAGCTTTTCAGAGCTGCTGTTTGGTCTCCTGTTCCTCTGACTTTTGCGCTTGGTGGGGCTGGGGGAGGAATACCTTGGTCTTTGGCACCCAAGACAAAGGGCAAAGAGGGGCTGTGGCTGCTGATTCTGCTACCAAGCGCTGTGGAGAAAAGCATTAACTTTACACTTCGCTGAGCAGCTGTGTAGTGTGGAGATGTAAAAGAAAGGTCTGTACTTAAATTTGCATGTTCTGCTACCTGATGCCCCAAATTTGCCATTGGGAGAAATGAGGCTTGTGTAGTTTACCCCACTCAAATAATCCCAATCACATGAAGATGAGACAGAAGAGGAAACAGCAGTGGGCATCACTGGTGCCCCTCCAATCTTGATGATCCTGTGTTCTTCCCACCACTCCATTTTGTCTCCTGAAATTCCCAGGTGCTCCCAATGATGAGAGAAGTAGTGTAGACATGAGTTTTTACCCCTGTGGCAGCTGTGCTCACTCTCCCTCCTATTAGCCTCAGATGAACTGAAGGAGTGCTGGGCCAACCATGGCACAGGTTTCAGAGATGCTCATGGTAATCAACTAAGTGGTGTCTCCAGATCTGAATGCCCTGGGCCCGATAAAAGTTGTATTGGGAGGTGAGAGAGATTTTCGTGTCCCACTGTTCCTGCTGTACTTGTTATGGGACTGGGGAGAGAAACTGGCCTTTAAATTTTAGGGCTGTTTTTGTAGGGGGAAAAAGAAACAAGTAATATATAGAAGTCATATAGCTGTGCTCAGTAAAATGTAAGTTTCATGGTATTGCCCTGCTAGTTCAGAGGAGGAATAACAGGGGGAAAAAAACTGGACAATGAGTCAAGAGAGCTGGCTCTGCCCTGTGCTACTGATGTGCTGTATAACCTTGGGCAAATTACTTCATCTCTCTATGACCCCAGTCCCCTTGTGCTCTTTGTGCTGTCTGGTTACAGTGGTGAGGATGGTCACTGTGTGTTAATAGAGTGTGTATTGCTATGGGATCCTACAGTTTGGCCATGTAATCAGTCCTGTAATGTAAACAATAAAACAGTCAGTCAGTAGTGTTGTTATTACAGCTCCCTGTCCCTTGAGTGTCCCTCTTCACCATTTTCTGCTTTAAATATCAGCTTTCTATTACAGCAAAAACATATTCTTTCTTGAACCTTATCCAGCTCCTTCCCTTATCTATTGCCCCAGTTTACATACAATATTTCTGTAAACAAGCAAATTGTGCCTCTGGTTTCTTCAGTTCTGCCTTCTTCACCTATCACACTGATTTCAACTGACAGGCCAAGTGTTTGCATCATCTTGTGATCATGTGGGTGGTTTGTTTTTTGTTTTTTGTTTTTTGTTTTTTTCATGGCACTGAAGCTGACTGTCAAAATTGGGGTTATAAATTCACGGACAAAATGGAAGATTCCAGAATAAGGTTCACATTAATGCAGTTCTGATTTTCCTGAATCAGCCATGGGCCTCATTTGTCTGTGGTGTAATTTCATGGAGTAAGATAAAATCATCCTTGGCATAACTACATTTGAATGATCTCTCAGATTGCAGTGGTAGCCAGGAGTGTCAGGAGGAGATATAGCAATTTATTAGTTACATGGGCAATCGGTTTAAACCGAGTCTCTTCAGACTTCTTGAAACAATGCATTCAGATTAGCCATGCTCAAGATTCAGGACAGCATTAGTACAGTCACTGCCATATTAACAATTCATCACTTTGTAGATGTAATTAATTGTGGCCACATTCACTGAATTATCATTGTCATTCACAGGCGGTGTGAATGTCAGTGTATGCACTCAGAAATGAGCTAAAAAGCTGAATCTCTTTGACTTTCTTAAACTATACATGCTAGGTCAAATTTATTATTATTATATACGCTGTCCTGAATGTTGGTTGAATGCAGCATGGCCAGATTAGACAAGCTAATCAAAGACATTGAGGTCAAGATGAGATCACTGGAGTTGTTCTGCAAGAAATTTAACTACCTGACATTAAAATTATGACCTACAGCATTGGAAGAATGATAGCTTGAATACAAGGTAATTTGTTAACCAGGCACACCCATTCTACTAATTTGGTGCCTTTCATCACAGAAATAAATAGATGTATAGTCCCACTTTCTAGGAAATAATTCTATTGTCTTAACACATCCATTAAGGAACCAGGGAATAGTACCTCATAAAAGGAGAAGGAGTCTGGGAAATATTACCATATGCTATTTAAAATGAAAGTCTTCTGATGTTCTTCTATAAGGGCCAACATTGCTTTTTGCAACGGATCCAAAAGGGTTAATATGAAGTTCTAATTAGAAGTCATTAAACTAATCCAGAGCTTCTACCCATCTGTCTTCCTTGATAACATCCTCTTGCCGCATGGTTTAATATTGTTTTACAAGCCAAAGTTGTAATAAACCTATAACAGAGTTATTCATTTACTTACCTTCCTTTCGTGCTCAGCTATCATGTCCCATCTATTATGCCAAGTTTTATTCTAGGCCGTATAAAATGCATTAAATAAATGTACAGGTACTTAGTGGGTGCATGGCTAAGTCTAATAGAGCTTGCTATTCCAAGTGTTTTATAAACATTCAACCAACACACTTTTGTAGGAAAAGAATGTCTACTTTTTTTATGGGTACTTCTTCCTGCAACATGCTGAATGGGCTCAACTTCCTTTTAGTCCATCATAAGCAGGGATCCTGGTTTTCTTTGTTTAAAAATCACAAATTCTCTGATTAAAACTGCATGAATTCTCTGATTAAAAGCCCCCAAATTTTCCCCACACATTTTCCATGATTAAAATGAAATGCTGCTGTGTGTGTGTGCGTGTGTGTGTGTGTATATGATAGATAGATAGATATATCTATCATACATAAATAGGTTTCAGCCGAACACAATGTTTTATTGATATATTTAAAATTTTAAAGCAATTTGGAAGCCTACCAGTACCTCAGTCACTATAATAAAATATATTCTAAATACCTATAAATTTTGACATTTGATTTGGGTTTTTTTTAATGATGGAAAATCAGCCCCCTTCACTCACCAGGATGTGGGTACAGCTGCTACAGTCCCCACCCTCCCCTCACTACTTTGTGGCACTGAGGAGCCCTAATGTGCTGGTGTCTTGCCCATGCCATTGCCCCTCAATCCTGACCCCCAGCTCTGCTGGTGCCTCTCACTCTACACCAACAACTCCCTGGCCCTGCTGGTGCCCCTCACACCCCACCCAGAGCCTTCCACCCTGGCTGGTACCCCTCACTGTCTACCCGCAGCCTCCCTTTCCCACCCCCCAGCCCTGTCAGAGGAAACCCCCAGGAGCCAGGGCTATAGGGCCGGGGACCCACAGCATTGCCCAAGCCCTGGCTGCTGCCTGTGGGAAGCAGTGGCTGCTGCAGTGGAGCAGAGTGTGAAGCCCAGCTCCCCCTTCTCCATGGGCAGCATAGCCGGTGCAGAGCCCTGGGTGGTGGGGCAAAGGTGAGCTGCCTGCTGCTAACTTGAGGCTTCCCACCCTGCTGCCCTCCCCTCCCCTTCTCTCCGCCCCGAGCCTCTGTAGTCCAGAAGACTAGACCTGGCGCAGCAGGGCAGAGTGGGGCCAGGTAGGGAAGCTCAGTGCCACTGCTGGGAGCCCTGCACCTCCCCCTGCAGCCGAGCAGCAGTGGGGGACGCAAATCCATGCCACCACCCCCCACTGCTGTCAGGTGGGCAGGGGGTGCTTTGGCCATGGTGGTGCGGGGCTCATGGCAGTGGCACTGAACTTCCCTGCCTCTCTCTGTCCTGCTTTGGTGGGTCTTGCCTGCTGGCCTGCAGAGGGCCTGGAGGGAGGGCAGCAAGGTGGGGGGCCCTGAGCCCATAGCGGGCAGCTCACACCTGCCCAGCATACAAATCTGGGGGGCATGTGACCTCACTGACCCCCCAGAAGCGCGCACAGTGGAGGGGAGCTGGCTGCCCTGTCACCCCCTAAATGAGCTGCCCGTGGCTGTGTCCTGTTCCCTGCACGGGCTCTGTGGCCATGCATTCCCATCCCGGGTCCCATGCCTGATGTACCGCCCAGGCTGGGCAGCAGCCCCAGCCCAGCCCAACTCCTTCCCTTCCTTATTCCTTCACTATGGGGGGGGCCCCGCCCCCCCCCCCCCCCAACGGGGCGCCCACCCCCCCCCCCCCCCCCACTTGCCTGCAGGGAGCTGCTCTCTAGGCTGCCTGGCTGCCATGTGCATGTGTACAGGTGCACGTGCATGTGCCTGCCCCCTTCCTTTTCACAATCCTGCTTCCCCCCAACCCCTTGCAGGCTGGAGTTCTGCCTGCCTGCAAGGGGAAATCCACCATTTCCTGTGTTTTTCTCCTTTA